TATATATACAAGTGTTACATTTTATTACAGCTTTTATGTCATGTTTTAAGCTTTTTACTGTAACAGCAAAAGTATTCATGAAACATTTCCTAAATATATTCTATATTACCTTTCACCCCAATAAGACGTAGCTGGAAAACTTCTGCTCTACAGATTTTAGTCCAATGTATTTTCCTATTTTTTTATGAATTCCAGATGAATTCCAGACATCATGTTTGATGGTTTGTTGTAAACCCTCAGCATTGGTTTTGGACATATATTTGTTTTTACACTGCAAGCAACGACGGTGGTCTCACACACACTTCAACTGCCAAATACGAATCGGACCTTCATGAAGCTATTTGGCGGATGCAATATTGGAATCATGTGCAGATTGTGAATTTATTGACACTTAGTTGTTTGTAATAATTTGTTTYAACTTCTAAGTTTTACTTCTATTTTATTAATTTATTTTTTAGACTCTGTGTGGAATCCATTGCAACATTTGAAACAGTCTGACTCAGCTCAGCCACGGACTCTACAGAATTCTGAGTTTTTGCGTACTAAAGAAAACTGGCTTAGATTGGTTGCATGAGCAAAAAAGAAAAACCTGTTAAACAATTAAAAACAACAATTAAAAAAAAAACTCTTGAAAGTTTATGTCCATTGAAATGTAAAGAGTTTACAGCACCACATGTACTCAACCACTCAATACTAGACCAGCTCTTTGTCCCCAAATCTGCTACATCTGTTCCAACTTAAGCCTCTGATTCTAATCCCTCCCACCTTGCTCCTTGTTTCCTCGACTGAATCTAATAAAGCAGTTTGTTTCCGATCATTGATGGTTAAAGTTGATTTGCTGGATAACTCTAAAGTAGCTTATCTTTTTTTTCCTTCTTTTTGCTGCCTTGAAGGAGACAATATATGTTAGAGGAAAAAAAGTGATGATCGGTCTCCTTCATGTTGAACTGTAGTCAATATCCAGGTGMTCTGAAACAGGAGAAATGATAAATGGCCCTTCAAGGCAAAACAGAATGGACACAGTGTGTTTACTGCCACCAGCTTTTTGTTTTGCCTTTTTCGTTTGATCTTGCTGGAACCACCAGGATGATAAACATAGCAATACGCTGGAAAATACTGGAGATGTGCTGGTTGTCACATTTTGATCAAAGARGGTTGAAACTTTAAGAGCAATCTAATTTTATAAGAAATACTGATTCCCAACAACATTTATGATGTTTCTTGGCAGAAAACTGGAAATTAACATCTCTGATTTTCACTGGGACATAGCTAATGACAAAAAAATACAGTGTACCATGACTCTGAACAGGGCTGGCACACAACAATAGACAACTAAGCTTTACTTTTAAGGGTAAAATATATCGTCCTTGTGGTTTCCAGCTTATATTTTACTTGTGTAAATATTGTGCTTTTTTATGGCCCAACTGGTCTMCAACCATGGGCCACAGCAACCATATATTATTGTATCAAAAAAATGCAGAAACCACACAAAACAAAACAACCTGGTGACATTTTCTACTAACTTGAGTTCAATGATTTAAACCAGTGTTTCCCAAAGTTGGGGTCGGGACCCAAAGTGGGGTCCCGAAACATCAAGGTGGGTCCTGAAAAGATTTTCTGAATTAATGACATTTTTGCTTTAATTGCTACAAAGGAGTGATGTTAGTGTATTTAAAATGGATAAATGTAGTATAAAAATATTGTTACTATGTTCATGTTTTGTTGACCTGATACAATTGTTTTTCATCCAAAAATAGCTGGGGGCACAGGTCTCTGCTACTGTTATTTTGTGGGTCAAAAGCTGAAAAGTTTGGGAACCACTGCACTTTGGTTCCCAAAGTTGGGCTTGGGACCCAATTATGGGTCATGAAGCACCTTGGATAATCTCCAGAAATCAATATAAAAGGTCATAAAATCATTGATGATGTAATATTTTCCCTATAATTATTACAAAAACACAAAATAAGTAAAAATAAGTATTTATATTTGTGTACAAAGTGTTTAGATTGTCAAAAAGCCTGTGTTTTTTAGGTTTTAACAGTTCATGTACTCAGACCAGTAATATTTGGGGTCACAAGATTTTGCCATGGATATTTTGTGGGTCAGAAGATAAAAAGTTTGGGAAC